TTATATAATCAAATGTATTTTTGCTTTACCTACCACAAAACAGATTTGTATAAAAGAATGCCATCACACAGGTGAATATTGGCATGGTTCCAAAGCATTATAATTTCAGGTTAATAGTAAAGTATGGCACAAATATCCAGTCTTTGGGAACTGGGGAAGCACCTCATTAGTAAAGTACATGCTTGATGTATACACTTAATCCACACCACTATTCAAAATCTTCAGCTTGAATGTACTGCATTGAATGTGTGCGTGTGTGTGTGTGTGTGTGTGTGTGTGTGTGTGTGTATGTGTGTGTATGTGTTATGCCCGTATGTGTGTAAGTGCACTGGGTAAATGTGCTGCCTGAGGAGGATAGAAGATGGTGTCAGATCCCCTGGAACTGGCTAACAATTGCTTATTAGCCTCCATGTGGGTGCTGGAATTCGAACCTGGGTGTTCTGCAAGACCCAGCCAATGTTCTTAACCACTAAACCATCTCTCCAGCCATGTGCATTGAATTTTTTTTTCTGTTGACTCTTTTAATTTTTTTAGGTTTTTTTTTGTTAAATTTTTGTGTATTTCATACAGAAAAATCTTTTTTCCAGATTTATGCTTTTTATTTTTTTTAACTTTTACAAAAACTTTTTTTTTTTTTTGGTCTTTTTGAGACAGGGTCTCCTCTTGGTCCCAGCTGGCCTGGAACTCACTATGTAGACCAGACTGGCCTTGAACTCACAGAGGTCCGCTTGCCTCTGCCTCCCAAGTGCAGGGATTTTGGCCTGGCAACTTTTACAAAAACTTTATTAAGAATTTCATACATGTATGTAAGGTGTTCTAATCAAATCCATGCCTACTCCCTCCCCTCCAACACCTCTCATATCTCCCCATCACTTTTTTCTTTTTTTCTTTTTTTTCTTCTTTCATTTATTTATTTTTATGGGACTTTGGCTACTCTAATGTTCCCCCCTCTGAAGAGGTAACCCTAAAATCTTTTAAGGATTAGATACAAGCTCCCAAATACTTTTGACATTTTTGGCCTTTGGAACAGAGTATGTTGCTAAGAGGCCCAAGGACATTTTGACTTTTAGCCAAGAAACTAGCTACTTTGGGGGGGGGGCTTTTTACCCTAACTGCCTAGCCAATTCCTACCACCTATTCTTACCACTCCATCCTCTGAAGGGGTTACCCAAATTGCCAATAGGGAATAGGGACGC